ATCCTGCGAATAGTAAGTACAGTAGTTAGTTGGAAGTAAGTAGTTTGACGGAAACGGACGAACACAGTCACTGCCCAGTTAGGCACAACAGTTTGATTTCGAGCGCCATCCAGGGGTCTAGGGATTGGTTAGAGGCGATTTCTGAAGCGGCGCAGAATCGACACAAAGTGTTTTTCATCGAATTGAGCTGGAACTGGGGACTTGACCGTGTCCCCCGGGCTGATTAGTACACACAATTAGTACACAGTGTGCAGCACACAGGCTGTCTCGAGAGTCCGTTGCGAACTTAAACCTTTCTGAAACAAGTTAGAATGGGAGTTTTGCTCAAAATTCGCAGACAATCCGTTACCCGTCCGCCTTTGTTGTGGTACAATTTTGCACTTCCTTTATTACATTCACTGTGGCGCTCGGGCCTGTCGTCATATACTGGGCTTATATGAGTTGAATTGAATTATATCAGACCAAATACAGTCTAACTTAGGACACAATAAGTACTAGATTGCTTTTAAGGTCTATCCACACACGTCAGCAATACTTGTCCTTTCAAATTCAAACCGAAAATGTCTAATTCTCCTGGAGGAACCTAGGAGAGCCTTCCAGGCTTCAATTTCCCAGACTCATTCTTCTATTAAGTTGAGCGAGTAGATTTCTTCGGGATAGAAAAACGAAAACTCTAAGTTGAAGTGGGGGAATAGGTTACCGCACAACTTTGTTTCAAAACCCGGTGTAAGCGGAGGGATAGGGATTATGAAAACGGAAGATTGCCGTGTCCAGTCTGTTGTGTTATGCGTCTATCCAAATCTGAGGAAGCGGTGGATCGAAACTGGATCTTACACCTTAGAATACACATAGCACTCCTAAGCCCATAATGGAAGATCAGCGTTTTTTGTGTCAGATACGATGGCATTCTTCGCCGAGCAAAATTAGTCCAGCACACTTTCTGCCCTGGCAATAGCCCTGGTGTACAGATGACTGCCTGGAATGATCCAAGACGAGCTTATCTTATGTCACCAGACCGATTGCTATCCGGCAATAACATTTGCTTACCCTAAAATCGGTTACGGAGCATTAACTTCGAGCTTTTGTGTTTGTATTCCTTACACACGAGTCGAAGTGTATATAAATACAAATAATAATCATTAACTCAAATAATAATTTGTATTCCGCCAACTGCGTACAGTTTGATATTGAAGTAGCACATGAGCTTGACAAAAACTTGGGGACCCTGACCACTTGGTGAGCCCAGAGAAGACCATGGTGAAGAAGGTTGTCCAGCTGTAGCACCTTTTCGGTTCCTAGCTTCCATACCACACAAAGGAGGCACGAGGGCTGGGATACTGCCAGGTTGCCAAAGCCTAGACGGGGGAAGTCGAGAGGCAGAGGTCGGGTTCGAACGACGGACCTTCCGGTCAGTAAATTCGCGCTCTAACCATTTAGTCCATCTCACCCCAGGGAAGACTATGATACGCTGTCAAACAGTTTTCAGCATATTTTGATATCTTTGATACGTTCCCAACTGAAACATGGGGTGGCTTTTGTGCATAACATTCAGTTGCACAGTACTGTAGACTGGAAATTCACGTGAGTCTCTCGTTAACCCCAATTTAACTTACGAGTGAGCGTACTTTGCTTTTGTTAGCCGTACGACTATCTTGTCGGTTCCTGTCAACCTCATTCCATTTTTCCAACCATATGGAGCATCGTTAGAAGTCTCTTTCTAGCAATTAGCCGTACCGACCGATGTGGTCTATATTTATGCATCGGGAGATTCATGAGAACATAATTTGGTCAGACATCCAGAAATGGGCATTAGGTAATGTCCGAGATTTCTGTTCACATGTGGACGGAATGCGCAGGTAAACTTGTGAAGGAGAGAATTTGTGCTGAAAACTTCATTCCTATGCAGTAATTAAGGTGGCGTTAGCTGAACTAAATTTGAATTTACTGTGTTGTGGAGGCTTGGCGCGAAATTCAAAAATCGAGGATAGGTTGACGTTGCTATTAAGTCATTGTTGATTGTTGGCTTTTGAAAATGCTCGTTCTGTACAGTGGAAATTCGCTCAGAGTTGGTAAGAGATGGTTGTTGGCGATTTAAGGTGGTTAAAAGATTGAAATTTTAATCAGACAGATCACACTGTCAGGTGTGGTTTGATTCACCAACAGCAACATTCCCCTTAGTGGTAGACGTCTGGGCATCAGTAATTATAGGTTTCATTTTGGACTAACGAAGGGTTCGAAGGGGTAGTGAGCATGTCTAGTAGCGTGACAAGATGAAAACGGGAGTTACACCCCGATGAGACCATGCTCAAAGTCTGCACAGAGTGTTTGAGTGCGATTGCGGTTAATCTGTGTAGGAGCTTGAGATAGCTCAGTGGTTAATACGCGTACTTACTGACCGGGAAGTCCGTGGTTCGAACCCAACCTCTGCATCTCGACTGCTCCTGTCTAGGTTTGGTGGACCTGGTAGTATCTCAGCCCTCGTGCCTTGGCTATGAATGTAGTACTCGATCAAAGGCTTGCCGGATCTTTAGGCTTGGTCGTGGTCATAAGCATGTGTAATGATGAATGAAACCTGGGTTGCTTGAGGGAGAAGATCATTGTTAATCGAATCCGAATTACGCGGGTTGACGAGAGATTTAACTGGTAGATGTGACACGTGCTTTACATCTGTTATTCGCTTCATCATGGATAACACGGGTTGTGGTTGACTGTTCTGTACTAGGTGATATTACAAAACTCCGCCCTTCGAAACCAAGCTTTTGGCCTGACTGAGACCAAAGAGACAGTAGTCAGTACGACGGCACATTTGTCCTCCATTAGCACAAAAAGACTATCCACTAATGCGTTTGGAAAGCTGTCTGTCAACCAGATAGCAGGGTGCCTTAGCCCGCGATGAATTTGACATTCAAGTGTCAAACAAACGTTGCACCAAACAGGATGAACATTCTGTTCGTCAAAATGTCCTGGAATATTTCGGATTTTTTTTTACGTACTCTGGTCATCTTGAAGCAGTAGGTGATTGCTGGTAGGCAGCTTTCTTAACCCCTGCTTGCTTAATTTGGCAATTCTCAGTCTTGGACGTCCAAGTCAAACGTGCTTCACTCGAGTCAGTATACTTTTGGTGTTCGATAGACTTACTCTGTCCGGTAAAACATGAGCGCGAGAAGAATTTCGGATTGTATTTTCTCCGTAGGCACCTAAACTCACCTATTTACACCTGTCCCTATTGTTTGCGTACACAATATTCCCTCCTGAAGCGAGGATACCACTGTGAAAGGTGTCCCCCTGAAGAGTGAAGTATCTTCGGACCCAACACCGGTGTGTCGGGACATTGGACAGATTCCGAGAGTTTCGATTTATTTTTTGACATCTATTTGGCGTTCTGTCTTATTGAATTGTAATTCGGTTTGAAGCCTATGTTTCGCTTGTTGCTTTAAAAGAGATAGCTTGGTTTACTCGATCGTCTAGTGTAAGTTGATATTTTTTTTTGGTTTCTTACTTAGTTCACTGTTATTTTTGAAACACTCATCGAAATGTTCACACGTATACAGTACAAGTGATAACACAATCCGAGGTCGATATCGATTAGCAGTAGGTCTTGCAAAACCATCCGCACACCGCTCTAAAAACAGTTGGGACTCGAAAGGCAGCTCGAATTGCTTATGTTGCAACACCAGCTTCCGGATTTGTGTCATCTGTGGATTTTGATCGTGCAATACCGGAGCTGGGATTCACTGAGCTTCACTTTGGCTTGAAAGATTGCATGCTTTTATCCTATATTCCGATGGTCATCGGTGCCTTCGTAGCTAAACAGTAGTTGACTGACTGCTGCGTTTCTGCGATGAAGTGGTGAATAGGCCAGGACGTGAGAGTGAATCAGAATCACGAGGGCAGCAAATGGATCTTACAGATTGTGATTTGTACAGCACCTGACCAGCCATCGTCAATCAAAGGGAGTTTTTTTCTATTAGGAGCCCCAGCCATGAAAGGTCAATAACCAATGAAAAAGGCTTCAGCCAAATGGGGGGATGTGGGAGGTTCGCACCTTCCTGGTTGGGACCCGTGGAATTCTCCATGCAACTGTGCGCTATCATTTCCAGGCCTGACTACGTTTGTGCGCCAGGATTGTGTTGGACAAGGTTAAAAAAGAATGCTGTCACTCATGCTGGTTTTATCCTACTTTCGCACAATGCCCAGATATGTTTTTGGCGTTGCGGGCACCTTGTTTCTAATAATTTTCCACAAGGACGTCAAGTTTTTTTTTGGTAAAAAGGTGGTCAAGATCTCTTTGATCGAGTTTTTAACGTGGGGTTTATGCGGAACATTCGGTACAACGTTTCCTAAAACAGTCGGTATATACTTTTGTATGATTACTTATCAAACGACTTTGCAAAGGCACTAGTTTGACGTTGCCTGAGATTTTTTTGTGAGGCGCCCCCTCATTTTGTGGGCTGGATAGGCACATAAAAGTTGTCTAACTTTGTTTCTGGGTGGGTCAGTATCCGAGATACCATGTTACTTATAAGACTGATGACTCCCAATAAGGATGAAGCAGCTCTACATTCCTTCTCACCTTTTTGGCATAGATTCGACCTACTGCTAAGACGAAACTTCAACTAAAAACCTACGAGGTTGCTGATGCTTTAAAAACTATGGCGTAAGATTGATGGAAGCTGGAGCTACGTCCCAGTAAGGACGGATACTCATAGTGAGCTATGGGGGGAGATTTTCAGCAACCTTTTGTGCTACTGAAAAGATCCTAGAGCAGTCGGTAGGTGTGTCTACTTGGATAACCCCCAAGTTTGATCGCTGTTACACTATGAAAGAGGCCTGTACTCGTAGCTTCCAGTCGTTACGCAATCAGCGACAGGCCTCATACCCTTGTTAAAGACCTTGTCTGAATGGATTTATTTGCGAAACTGGGTTCGAACACTCAAAATGTCTTCCTACCACTCGGTTTATTTACGATGCTCTAATCCACAGCTTTACATTCTCTTTAGGTTTTACTAGAGACGCTTGTTGTCCTCGGTGCACAAGTGCGGTGGTGTGCATGCAACATCTACTCGACTCAAGTAAGTTGGATCGTGTGACCATGCGTGGTCGATTGGTCGATCGATTGATGTTTCAAAACCAAAGCAACGGCTACTGTTTGTGTCACATTTGTCACGGGTTGTACCCTTTCTGGCACTATTTTGTTTTCTATCGCGGCCTCGCATATTTTTTCAATCGTTCAAATCGAACCAACACGCACACATATGTTTGAACGAAAATCGGTTGTTTCGTACCGTTTCAGGTGTATCGTTCCGATTCACCCTGGTTTGTCAAGAACTGTGCAAGCTAGACTGACCCATGAATCACTATATATTTAGTAGCTTACGAATTACGTTCTAAAGATATATCCACTTTTATAAAGTACGTAATTCGACTGTGTGCCACACACCCCATGACGTCAGTGACAAATCCCACCGGAATTCAATCAGCAGACTTGGAGATATCAAGAAGTGAAAAGTGGCCCGACAAGATTGTCACCATCCTATCGTACCGTTCCCTCAGTGGGTATTGTGGTCGTATTTTGCAACATTTTTAACCCCAAAACTTCCATTAATCAATTTTAATGAGTATGCAGGTCGAATTTGGACTGACGCTACCAACTATTTTTTTCAGACCATGGATGCCCGTAGCTTTGTACACTCGTCACGCTAGTATGCTCTAGGGTGTGTACTTTAATTGCAGATCAAGACCAAAAGTTGATCCCCCGCGAGACGCCTCAAAAGCCATCTCTAGCTAATGTGATGAACGTGTTCTCCGTTCAGTATCCCACCCTCGACTCATGGTAATCTAAAGTATTCTGACGTTTGGCCAGTTCACTGTCTCGTTTACGCAGCGCCTGCTCAAACCATTAGAGACATCTGTGTTGAATCGTCTCCGAAAGGCGCTGAATGTCTTGGCAACTTCACCTGACATAGTCACTGGATAATCTTTTTATCCGTTGCACTTTTAACGTAAGTCGTAGAAGATGACAAACAGATACCTGAAGTTTCTGTGGACTGAAGGGGCCAGGTCTTACGAAGAACTATATAACACCCTTTCGGTGCCTAGCTGTCATGCCACCAGAAAGCTGAGGGCTGGAATACTGCCAGGTCGCCCAACTCTAGACAGGGGAAGTCGAGAGGCAGAGGTCGGGTTCGAACCACGGACCTTCTGGGTTAGTAAGTTCGCTCTTTAACCACTTGTTCCATCTCACCCCGACCCGTGTGCTTTCATTCCAACTGAAACCAGGCTTCCGCCAGCATCTGTGCACAGAATCGGTGCACACTTTTGCGTCGTGAATCAATATCTACTGATTCCGCGTTTAAAGCTGAATGCTTGAATCGAGTGATCGTCCGGTGGTCATAATAATACCGATTCCATATGATTCACTCAGTGAAAGCGATCGACAGAGCCGTTGTGGCAGCAAACCTTACTAAGTTTTAGTATGGGCAGACTGAAAGCCACTACCTTTTGGTTTACGAAGTGGGTCCCTCAGAACTCATGTCAGGGTGTTTGGGCAGGTCGTAAAGGCATACCGATGAATAGGAATGCTCGTTTGAGTGCGGACCTAGTCCTCGTGGGGAACGTATACAGTGGTTGCCAGTAGTTGGATACGAAAGCGAAAAACTTATGCATATGAAATTAACGAGGGATATTGTCATTAGACATGTTAGATTTTTTTGCTTTCATTCGCATATATAACATCAGTGCAAACATTCTAATAGGCTAGGAATTTCCAACTCAGATGGGTTGATGCTGCAAACAGATATTACTCGTAGGTTTATTCAACATTACCCTCTTTGTTGGCCCGGGTGTTTGTTGGCTTTTAGTTGATCTATTAACTGAGCTTTGCTACGGATTCGCAAATTTTCCCCTACCGGTCGAGCAGGTTTCGTTAATGCGTTTATACTGTCTGTGCGATCAGTGACGAGACGTTCGCTAACCAATACCAAGTGCGGCGATTAGGTCAACTTCCACTTGTTCCACAACCAAGGTCACGTGTTATCGCCCGTGCTCGCAGACATAAGCAATATCACTTGAGCCATCCACAGTGTTTTGCAACGTTGATAATGAATATCCCGTTACATTTCAGAACGAAGTCGCTGCCGCGTTGGCCGAGAAAGGTTACGCAATCTACGCTTGGAAGGGAGAATCTGAAGAGGACTTCTGGTGGTGTATTGATCAGTGCATAAAGCATGACTCATGGCTTCCAAATGTCGTAAGTGGCGTACAAACAGTTCGTTATCGTCATTTCGTGTAATTGTTGCGAAATCCTATTTTTGTCCTAGTCTTTTTTATTACTTCCCCCCATCTACAACAAAATGCTTTTCTATCTTGAGATTAGTTGCTTTTATTAGGCTGTCCGTTGGTACTGCAACCGCGTCAGTCACGTGTGTTTAGTGGGGGCTTAGTTTTAAGTTCACGCAAAGCATTCATTTTTCACTGGCGAAAGAACGTCAGAACGTGATGACTACTCGCCAAGTATCGATTTTCATCTAAATCTATTTACAAGCCTTGGTTTATTCTTCTCAATTTGCTTGTTACATTGAAACCTCTCCTTATGGCAAACACTTGTCTGATCCGAAGAAATTTCAGTTTGGTCTCCACCGAATCAGTTCTCATTGTTCGACTAGTAGGAAATGTTTTGCCTTGCTGAGCATGCTACTTATAGAATGCAAGTAACAAATGGACATCTCACCTTGTGAATCTGAGACATCGTGTTGTTGGGCATGGTGCATGCTCAGGGTCCACAGTCTTCGTTCTGCACTCATGAGTCCCCATCATGTATCCCATACAGGTTCTGGATGACGGCGGTGACCTAACGCATCGCTTGCACAAGGAATATCCCGACCTACTGTCCGGAGTTCGAGGCATTGTGGAAGAGAGTGTAACCGGAGTGCATCGACTCTATCAATACGTGAAAGCTGGAACTCTACGCGTTCCAGCGATGAATGTCAGTGATAGCATCAACAAATCCAAATTCGATAATTATTACTTGTGCAAAGAGTCCGTAGTTGACGCGTGAGTCCCCCCTCTCCACCTATTTTGTATTTCCAAATGAGATACGCAGTTTCGTCATAGAAATGACACCAGTTAGTTTCGATTGCTCTGTTTCTCAATTATTCTAACGGCTTGGTTATATTCTGCTTGGGCTAGGGTACTTTTTCCATCCATCCGGAAACAATGCTTTGTCTACCTATGTGAATGTATGCCAACATCGATCACGGGTCTCTTGCTGGCGTTTCATCCATGTTAATTTTTTGGATGTCAGTGTATTGTGTTCAGTAATTGTACGCTTTAGGTCTAGAAATTGGGCGAATTTTCACCTACACCTCTCAACAGACAAGCCAGACAACGTCATCATGGAGACTCACTGTGAAGCATGGAGCTTGTTCTGGAGACGGAAGCGCTAGCCTAATTTGTTTTAGGGTTTTCAGGTCACGTGCTTTGGGTCTTTCCAAATCCCTAAATCTTGTGTCCCAATATATTTCGCATGTGCGTTGAATCGAATTAGATCAAATCAGGTCGTTTTGATCATGATTTGACTTTGCCGCCCGACAAGTCTAGGACCGTGATAGTGACATGTTGCGGATGACGACCAGAAAACCTGTTGGCAGCTATTCTTTTGATCAGAAACTTGTGTTTTAGCACCTTGCTGTATCCCACTTTTCGTTTATTCAAAATGTGCTTTTCGGTGAAAACCACTGTCTGTGATTGACACACTATTCTTTCCCATGGGAAACACCATAATTGGTTGACCTAGGGTAGTTAGTTGCTGTCATGGTTAGCTGCTGGTTCTGCCCATATTTCAAGGTGCTATATGTGCTTCCAGAGGCTGTTACAGCCTAATATGCATTCATTACATTCCGTGTGCATTCACTCTCCGTCTGCTGCGTCAAAAAATCGAATCATGTCGAAACAGCGTTTGGGATGGGAACGGGTGAATCGGTGAGCCGGCTTGGTTGTCTTCGCTTCTCAACTTCGGTCTATCGCATAGATAGTCTGCTCCGGATGGGAACGGTGAATCCGTGAGCCGGCTTGGTTGTCTTCGCTTCTCAACTTCGGTCTATCGCATAGATAGTCTGCTCCTTCAAATCTCCATCGGGAAGGTATTGATACCAAGTTCCTGGTTTGACTGCGCTCCTGATTGTTCATGAGTGAATGTGACAAAGGTGCATACCTGACTGGCAGCCGAAACTTATTCCGATGAAGTACATACGACTGGGTTTCGGTGGGTCCCTCATAGCATGCCAGCGTTAAAGATGGGTATGTGAAAATCGTGCCATGTACAAACAGAAAATTCCCTCCAAATCGCTTGTGTCTAGTTCTTTTTGCTATTCTGTTCATCTTCTTCTATCCCTTATCGTTGCTTATCAAACTCGGAGCACGCGGCCTCAACTCAGACATAGACATGCTTCCCCATATGTGCCACCAACTTCGCCGTACCACTGAGCTGCCGGCTTCGGACAATTCCGTCTCGCTTCTTGCGCTCCGTAACCCAATCGGCTACCAGTTTTCTTCGTCTGCACTTGTTAACCTGTTAGCGTTCGGGTCTCTGGTGGGGAGTTCTTTACTCTGTTCTTGCTGATAGCCTATCATGTGCATGATGGACATTGTTGGTTAATCATTTGGTTAGTTGCCTGATTGTTCGATGCTGGATTGTTGGTTACCGCAATTTATTCTGGCTGCATGAATGCTACACAGTTTGACGGTGGAAAAAACTAGAACAGCAACACGAAACTACGCCATATGTAGCCCCCACTCTCCATTCACCTGGATCCACTGACAGTAGATGGATTCGTGGTTACCCAGGAAAGTCAACACTTTGTTTATCAATATTCCCACTCGTGACATCACGATGATTGCTTTCAGATACTCTATAAGATGATAGGGCAAACGATGATTCACTGTACCGACTTTTCATCCTTCATGTTCGCTCCTCATCATCATTGGTGTTAATGCTTTCTTTAACTACCTTAACGATGGACGCTTCGGAGACAGTCTCCACCTATCGGTACGCATCGAGTCTGTGCTCGTGCTCTGAAGGTAGCTGTACAGCGATCCAAAACCCGTCGGTCCTCTGGACTCGCTTTTCCTTGATGTACACCATCCACCAAAAACGTCTCAAGATCCCAGTATGACTGGAACTAAACTTCCTACCAGTTTCTTCTCGCTACCAGTTGCGCACATATGATGATCTATAGGCCTTTATGCCTGGTTCTATCGGGATTGGTATCGATGTAAGCGGTCGGGTGGAGGGACTTTTGCTTTGCTGGGTGTTATTCAGTAGACATTTTTATGTGGTTCGTTCAATGAATCTGTGAAAGCATCCGGTGATAGTGCTGGTTATCGCTACCTGCACATCGTGCGTGCTCTCCTACGGTCAAGGGCAACTTTCACAACTGTTAAGGCGCATGATTGCGGTGTGCCCACTGCTCCAATATTGTTGTGGTTGCCAATAATAGAAGTGCATAATTAGATGATAGACCCAGCAGGCTTAATTTGGTGGTCGTCGTGGACTGGAGTCGAGAAGCAATCAATAACCGCCAAAGTTCACTGCAGTTTTGTGCTGAACACAGACTATTTCTTTGCTTGCGAACCTTCCAAAAGCCAACTCTCCGCGCCCGTGACCCTCTCCCACAGGGTGAGCTCAAAAGCAAATAAATTCAGCACGATCTATAAGTGGCGCGAATCTGTTGCCAATCACCGCTCGTTCTGGAAAATCCGGTGAATTGACCCACTGCTCCAATATTATTGTGGTTGCCAATAATAGAAGTGCGTAATTAGGTAATAGACCCAGCAGGCTTAATTTGGTGGCCGTCGTGGACTGGAGTCGAGAATCAATCAATAACCGCCAAAGTTCACTGCAGTTTTGTGCTGAACACAGACTATTTCTTTGCGGTCCAACCTTCCCAAAGCCAACTCTCCGCGCCCGTGACCCTCTCACACAGGGTGACCTCAAAAGCAAATAAATTCAGCACGATCTATAAGTGGCGCGAATCTGTTGCCAATCACCGCTCGTTCTCGAAAATCCGGTGAATTGTGGTCCGTTGTTGTTTCTCTGCGTTTTTCGCAGGCACGCAAGTTGTACATATTGTATCTTCATCTTAAGAAGCTTTCGGACCATAGCATGAGGGTAATCTTTAGAAATCACCTGCAGCAACCCCTTTTTGCCAGTTCGTCATCCAATGTTGACCCTCTCTGATAATTGTGTTCTAAAGCCCTGCAAGATCGATTGTCGAGTTACTTTAGGACCTTGGCAGTCTTGCCGCAAATGTTTCGTTACTGACTGGGATGATGTCAAAACTGGGCAGCTGAGTAGCGTTGTGTCATACTTAATTTGCGCCTCGTCGTGTAGCCCTACACAACCCTGGGAATGTATAAGAACTCTTTCAACTAGAAAAAAAGGAAAGCCGTTTGCACGCATCTCGAATGCCGCACCTACGCTTAGCAAGCCCCTGGAGATTGTTACTGAATGCTGCCGAAATGTGTGTGTGGATCAGACTACAATACGGGCTATTGCTGTGCAGTCGTTGGACCGCAGGAAGTTGATAGGGTGTCTTTATGAGAAAACACTGGTATCCAAAGGTTGTTTGACGGCATTCGTGTATCATGTACAAGGCTTATCGCTGACCATTCCATGAGGTCCCACTCTCGATTGAAAACTGTTGGTCCATCAGCGACAAGAGCATCATCATCGGTATTTGTACATATGCTTCGTTTCCCTGACACTTATGTCTCCATATGGATTGCACTGTAAAAGAAAATTTTCTCTCATACTGATCGATATTTGGATAGAGTTAGCTGCCACGTAACCTGCTCATGTGATCCGTGTGTCTCATTCCGATAGGCGCCTTACCGGTGTGATCGTAATGCGTCATCGCTCTGTGTCCCGAGGCACACGATGCCGCAGGAAACCAGCCCCCCAGTCTACTCATAACATAAACGCGGTTTGGCACTAGTGCATGAGGCATGAATCATGCTTCATCCTCCGAATGATCCATGGTTTCACCAGTGAAAATTTTCTACAAAATCATCCAACATCGATGGTGCGTCTGCTGGTGAATGAAACTGAAGAATGTTTTCTAGACTGGCAGAGCACACGAACACCCTCATATTTGGTCCTCATCGACCCAATCGTTTTCAAGTCACAATCGTCATGAGTCCTGTTCAGTTCAGTTTTCCAGTCATAAAGCAAGGGTATGTTGGTTCCAGCTGCTACAGTTTCGGTCACCGGTAGATGAAGCCAAGCATTGGAGGCGTAGCCAGTGAGTTGGGGACACTGGGGAGCTATGCATTAAGGGTGGTAGCTTTGAAACAGTGAGTAGAATATTTCAGTGCTAAGGATTCAAACTTGGATAGGTGAGCCAGTCGGCTCCGTTCAGCTATACCATTACGCTTACGGTAATGCTCCAAATGTCCTTATGAATTCACGGGCTAATTCATACTTGGAGCGGTTGGGTGGCTGTACAGTCGCAAGGTCGTTTTCAGTTCGTCAATCCCCACCTACTCGGATCTAAATGAAACATCCAAATGTCCCATAAATTGGGTATTGATATTGTATCGTCCCGAAACTGGGGATCTCCTCATTTTTCCGTGCATACTTTTCGGCTTGGACAGCTGTTCATGTCGTTTCACATTCGGCCATCACTGTGCTTCGTTTTTCTCTCACTGAATACTTGTTCCCATTCCATCTTTTGTTACCCAAAGGTTGAAGCGAACGACGGACATGATGATCAGTGGGAAGACTGTCCTAGTTTGCGGATACGGGGAGGTGGGCAAAGGCGTATGCCATGCGTTGAAAGGGATTGGAGCTTTTGTATGTATCACAGAGATTGATCCAATCTGCGCTCTTCAAGCTAGGTAAGTGTACTCGGGCAGTGTACTCTATTGTATTGTCTGTCTAGATTAAGTGGTGTAATGCGCGCACTTACTAATGACGACTGTGCAACTATTTCCTTTTTCTCCCCCCCTAGTATGGACGGATACCGTGTGGTGAAAATCGAAGAGGTTATCCGATCTGTTGACGTAGTAATAACCTGCACGGGGAACAAGTCAGTCGTAACACGGGCCCACATGGACAGTATGAAGAACGGCTGCGTTGTCTGTAACATGGGACATTCGAACACGGAAATCGATGTTGTAAGTAGCGGTGTCGCGTCTAGTGGGGTCACGAGTGAGCCTAATTCTTGACCCTCATGGACACAAGTTGAGCGGACCGACCATTTTTTTTTAAATATTCGAATTCTCCGCTGTCAACTCTCAAATATTTGTTTCCTTAGTCTTTAGTTGTGGACCTTGGATGTGCTTGTAATGTTACATCTCGTTCTCAGATGTTTAACTTCAGAAATAAGACCAGAAATTTGGAGCACTTACTGCGGAACCCTCAAAATATACTTTCTTTCGAATTCGGTTTTCAAGTCCATCGTAGCAATGATTAGCTATTCAGAGTTCCAGCTGCCCCAGTGATTAAGGCTCAGACCATTAACTGACCCAAAATGGGCGACCCAGTTCAGCCACGAGCTCAGTTTATTCTGCTGCTCGAAGAATCATTGTGAACGGCTTATTTGCTGCACAATACATACATTTTAATTTCCATCGCATCGACACGATGCCTTGCAACTGTGGTTAGTTGGCATGACAGTAGTGCGCACAATCGCTGGATTGAATCATAGGTTAGGGCCGATTCCGTCTGGTTCGATGGATTATTTAGACACCACGTTGTTCATCATGACATGCAAATTTATCGAGCAGGTCAAGTAAACTACTCTACCAATTATCCGTTTGGATCAACTTACTCAACCCACAGATGACCTACTCTAATCCAAAGTGCAGCAACGTTTTATTAGTTTTGCGATTGAAACGAGCTAGCGGTCGACTCAATATGCGTTTGTGGCGAATAGTGTGTAAAAACAACTTTACCTTAATCGATTCTATAAGAAATTTATCTCTACCTCAAATTGTTCTAAGATCTATCTTACCAATGCTTACCGTCGAATTAATGATGGAATCCTGTGTAGGTATGACCCTGATCATCCACGGTGTCTGCTAAAGTTATTTCCCCTCTGGACCAACTTCGATCGCATTGGATTCCCGTTGTTTTGTGCTGTGTACATTATTTGTACCATTTTCCCAACCCCCCCCCCTCCAGCGATCGCTTCAAACCCCTGATCTGACCTGGGAACGTGTTCGATCCCAAGTCGACCACGTGATCTGGATGGATGGGAAGCGGATAGTCTTGATAGCCGAGGTATGTGCGTCTTTGTAGCTGCACTGTTTAAAGCCCAAACTCCAGGCATATTTATACCAGTTTTGGACACGGTCCGACTTTGTCCATAAAACAGTTTAAATGCTATGCCCCCAACGCACTTGTCCAGCTTCCTTCCTAATTTGTTATTATTCATAGTTTGATGGACCCATTCAAGAATTCTGATGTTTTGTAGATTAGTCTTCTTTTCAGAACATGGTTTAGTCGTTTGCTCGATGCATATTCAAGAACTGCGCGAATGGCTTTTCCAACTAACCCTTATGTTTTCCATTCCTCCAGGGCCGCTTAGCGAATCTGAGTTGTTCCACGGTTCCATCGATTGTCATTTCGGTGAGCGCAAGCACTCAGGTGGGTCCTTGCTGGTTCTGATTTACCATTGAAGTGCGTGGAATGACTGTCGAGTAACACACAGGTGTTGAGTTAACAAATCGTCGGAAAATCGTCATTTATTTTTCAAGCCCCACCCTGAATACAACCGTAATGTTTAGGCAACTCGTAAACAAACCTGAAAGATAATTTAGCACTAGCATCTTCGTCACCATTTTACTTCAGTATGACTGATTTGCAAGAACATTAACCGGATTCCAGCTACCCGAGTTCGACGGTGAACTCCACTCCGATTTCAACCCATGGTAAATTTCATTTTCAGGCGGTGTCCACTTTTTGTTTGTCCTTCAAGGTAGGCGAAACTGACAGTCCCCATCACTGTGAACAGAAAAAAGCGAACGAAGTGTGATTGAATTGATGGCTAAAGTCTGAGATTGTGAAATCCATGATCGAGTCGTTGCTAACTTATTCATTGATCTGCCAAACCTTGGCATAGTATTTCTTGCATCAGCAGCAGTACGGGCGACTCTACAATCGAGGGAATCCTTATGTCTCCATCTTTCTGCCTAGGATGCACTTCACTCGAGTTTCTCCTTCTCATAGTGCATATCTGCAACTCCACCGGGATGTTTGCGCGCTCGACTGGCCTGAAGCACCATGTCCGCGCTTGGTTGGTATGTGTGATTTGCCATAGGGCTCGAACACTGGCACTGTGCTGATCCTCAAAAACTTTCATCGTAGTTAGCATCACATTGCGGGGTTCGAATCTGGGACCACGTGCTACTGATCTGCTCTAAAATGGTCGAAACTGGAATTAGCGTTTTTCCTCTAACCTGCGCCCGGCAAAATCACCAACTGATGACGAAGGAGTGACTGCTCAAACGAAACTGATCTGAACAAGATTTTAACACAAAGCACAACCATTCTCAAATAATTTTACAGTGCCTGACGGATTTTACAGATCTTCCATGTCTTCCTTTTCCAGGCATTGGCGCTCATCGAATTGTACAATGCCCCACCTGGCCGTTACAAGAATGATGTCTATCTTTTACCGAAAAAGATGGGTAGGTTTTTATCTCATTTATTCAACTCATATCCTCTCATTCATGCAATAGGTAGTTTACAATGTTTTCAGAACTTTGTTCACACTAATGTTTTATTCCCAGTCACTCAATGTGTTGAGAGGAACGACTAAGGAAGCGTCACAGTGATGGCCTGATCTATGAGCTCACACAGACACCTTTGGTACAAAGAACGTCGTGGTTGTCACTTTGCCTCTGTATCTTGTGACAAGATGCGGGCCGAGTTCATGCATGCCGATAATTCTAGCACGTTTTGCTGAATCCTGTTTCAGCAAGACTTGCTCTCTACTACAGCGACTGAATTTCCACCTCTAATGGCTTTCACCTCGCTGTTTTTCGCACAACTATGGTGATTGATCGCTTGACAACTAGTTCGTTTACTTCACCCTTTCAGACGAATATGTGGCCACACTCCACCTTTCCTTGTTCAACGCCCGGCTGACTGAACTCACCGATGATCAAGCCAAATATTTGGGCGTCAACAAAACTGGCCCTTTCAAACCAAGCAATTATCGGTAGGTTGTGTGTCTGTATCGGTTGTACTGACGATACTGTTCTAACAGACCCAAGACCTCAGCACAATCGATTGCCTTTTCCGTGAAACTCACCGGCCTGATCCGTAACTTCAACCATAGAACGATCAGAACTAGCAGCTCTGAGCTAAATTGCAGTTTCTGAGATTGTGGCAGTGACCAACAAATCCCATAATAACTGCCAATTAAACACAAGTACTTTTGTTTAAAGACATCTACATAGATTAATTCCAGCAATCTGTTGGACCACGTCGAGTTGCAGTTTCTTGTGGCAGTGACCAACAAATCCCATAATAACTGCCAATTAAACACAAGTACTTTTGTTTAAAGACATCTACATAGATTAAATTAATTAATCTGTTGGACCACGTCGAGTTACGCGCAAAACCCCAAAAGCCAATTCTTTCAAATGGAGGTTTATCTACAAATGCGGTACTATAAGTACAATGACAAAATGATAAAGCTTTACAAACCTCAAATCGTGGGACTATGCC